ACTTTCTTGGAGTTCATTAACCTTAGCAAAAAAACAAACAAAAAAACAAAAAAAACAGAAGCTTTAGTAAATGAATAAGTCAAATTCTTCTAGCCTCAGGTGAGTTGATTCAATCTTACTTAATTTCTCTTTAGAAGGAAAATAATGTATTTCGATGATCTTTGCAGGAGGCAGTAACATGCAAATCTAAACTAAATACCAAATCTGAACTAAATACCAACCTAGTTCAGCCAAAAAGAAATATTTGAATATTCACTGACCTACATCACTAGGAAAAATTTACCTTTTGTTGAGCACAATATTCTTACCCTTTTCTTTATAGACACAAACTTCAATTTTAATAACAAACAATAATTATATGCTGTGATATATTGTTTGTAATTATATGTATGATTTCTCAGGATAATTCTAAGAACAAAAAAATTTTATAATTTTATAATTTCTAAATTGCCTATTACAGTGCTGAGCACACAGTGGCTCTGCGATGAGAAAGCCACTCCAGGGCAAATGTCACTAGAAAGGAGGGAAAGGGTGTGGCAGCACCTTGTGATCTCAGTCACCTGAACATGATTGATATTTTCTGGGCTTAAATAGGGGATGTGAACTTTGGCCCAAGTCTGATGGTATAAATACACAGGACAGGAGGTAGAGTGAAAAGCTGCACATATGGTAAAGATACATGGGTAAAAATGAGAAGAATATATATCAGAAATTATATTTATCTTTGATGGTGGTATTTTCCCTTTCAATCTTGGGCTGCTCAGACTTTGTTTCAACAATCATAAGGAATGAATACAGATTTTGGAAAAGTGAGAAAAAAGTATGTTCAGTTATGGAATTTGCATTCAATAAATTTTATGTGAAGTTGAAAAATACATTTGGGAAATAATAATAAATATGATGGAAGATCAAACCACAAGTGTCAAATCAAAGGAATCCAAAGGAAAAAAAAAATTGAAGAAGAGATACACGGAGGTGTGAATGATATTGTTATATGTATATACATGTGCGGGAAACCTATAAGTACTGCATATGGTCATGGAGGATAAAGTCATAACAATTGGATAAAAACAATAGATCATTTAATTTCTGCTCTGATAAGACAGAATTTTACAGACTTCTACATGAAATGGTTTTTCCTCTATGTGTAGAGCCACTTAAGGTTTCAGTAAGCAATCAGGAAGCGGCTTTGAGAATAATTGATTATAATAGCAGAAAAAAGCAGTAGAGGCATTTTAGAGGAATACAGGACATTTTTGAAAAGAATCCAGTGCATCTTTCCCCCACCTGAATGTCCTCATTTTATGTTAATTCAGAAAGCTTATGTTTCATGATGCCGTTTCACCATACTTACATGTTTTGAAGGACCCAAGATGTCTTAGTGCATTGTGAGTTTACAGAGTGGTCCTGATTTAATAGGCAAGTCTAACTTCCTTAGTATTATTATAAGCTTTTATCCCAATACATGTATACTATATGCAAAGAGTTTACTCATTCACATAATCACGTATTCATTTATTTGGTAAGTGTTAAGGAGTACCTATTCTGTCCTATTGTCTTATCTTTGGCTTTGTGAATTTTATTTGACTATGGAACAGACAATGATAAAATGGTAAATGATTAAAAAATATACATATAATGTATTATTATTATGTATTAAAATACATATTATTTTACAGGTGTGAATAAATTTGGTATATTTGAGGGCTTATAATTATTGATAATGGCATAGTTAAGAGTATGATCATAACCATAAAGAATGAGTCAAGTGGTGGTAAAATTATTGGAAGAAATCAAGAAACTAAGTAGATAGGATCTTGGAAGGATTATTTTTCTATTTGTTGAAACAAACTTAATGCAAGAAAATCCTTAACCAAATAAAAACCACACTGTGACATATTAGGAACAGTGCCCTATATTTGGAGGGTTAGTAGACTAAATTGTCATCTGATGATGATGTGATAGAATAATAAAAATAATCTGCACATATTATGATTAGATTTATTTCTGACAAAAATCTCTCTAAATACCTGATATTATGATACACCAAAAAAGGGAAACAGATGTTTATAACTTTCAATAATTAGGTAAATGTGGCTGATCAGGTGCATTATTCTTCTACAGGAAATATGCAAAATATGGGTAGAGAAATGTGTGAATGAGTGTAAGAAAGTTTTTGAATAGCGAATTTCAGAAATAGGTATATCAACAATAGCAAAAATTTCATAATTGATTGTATGATGAGTCATTAATTTTCTTCTGAGTTCAAAGTTCTCTTAGTGAAATTCGTTAGGCAAGGAAGAAATTATACAAATATATGATAGTATTGCCTTCAAGGCAAGCATTTTAAATAAACTCAGATTCATGTAAAAAGCAAGACTGGTCCTTCTCATGAAGCTAGCTGCCTCTGAGAATGGGGGCTCCGATCATTTGAAATATAACAGGACCAGCTCAATTTTTGTTCTTTTCCTCTCAACTGCCTTTCATTATTCTACCTGCAATATTTCATATTGACTCTATAATTGTGATATTAGTAAATAATGCAGCAATTGAAGCTAAATACTTTCCAAAACACTGGATAATCACTAAGATTCTCAACATTTGTTTTATTTACCATACCTTATCCAAATTTTGCTTCTAATTTCCCTGTACCAACATTCTTAACTTATCCACAGGAACCAAAAAAATCAGAGCAGTGAAGTCACTTTCATTCTCTTGGGCTTCTCCGAATATCCAGAACTCCGGGGGCCCCTGTTCCTGGTATTCCTGACCATTTACACGGTCACCGTGCTGGGGAACCTGGGTATGATCGTGGTCATCCATGTCAATCCCAAACTTCACACCCCCATGTACTTTTTTCTCAGCCACCTATCTTTCGTTGATTTCTGTTACTCTACAGCAGTTACACCCAAACTGTTAGAAAACTTGGTTGTGGAAGACAGAACCATCTCCTTCACAGGATGCATCATGCAATTCTTCTTTGCTTGCATATTTGTGGTGACAGAAACATTCCTGTTGGCAGTGATGGCATATGACCGATTCGTGGCAGTTTGTAACCCTCTTCTCTACTCAGCAGTCATGTCTCAGAAGCTTTGTTACCTATTGGTGGGTGCATCATTTTCTTGGGGCATAGCCTGTTCTTTAACATCCACGTACTTTTTGTTAACCTTATCGTTTTGTGGGATTAATTTTATAAATAACTTTGTCTGTGAGCATGGTGCTATTGTTGCTGTTTCTTGCTCTGATCCCTACATCAGCCAGAAGATCATTTTGGTCTCTGCCACATTCAATAACTTCCTATTTTGTCCACAGGGACCATGAAAACCAGAGCGGTGAAGTCACTTTCATTCTCTTGGGCTTCTCCAAAGAATTCTTCCAGTATTAACTTGGCTTTTCATTACTCAACTTCCACAAAATTCTTGTTCACTGTATAATTGTTATGGGAGTGAATACTAACTTTATAGGTAATAAAACAGTGAAAGTCTAACATTTTCAGCAATGCTCTTAATAGAGACCATTGAGCCCCTGGACATCTCTCTTCCCTATCTCAAATTTGGTGTTTTACTTTTCTGTATTAACTTCCTATTTTGTCCACAGGGACCATGAAAATCAGAGCGGTGAAGTCACTTTCATTCTCTTGGGCTTCTCCGAATATCCAGAACTCCGGGGGCCCCTGTTCCTGGTATTCCTGACCATCTACACGGTCACCGTGCTGGGGAACCTGGGCATGATCACGGTCATCCACATCAATCCCAAACTCCACACTCCCATGTACTTTTTTCTCAGCCACTTGTCCTTTGTTGATTTCTGTTACTCTACAACAGTCACACCCAAACTGTTAGAAAACTTGGTTGTGGAAGACAGAACCATCTCCTTCACAGGATGCATCATGCAATTCTTCTTTGCTTGCATATTTGTGGTGACAGAAACATTCCTGTTGGCAGTGATGGCATATGACCGATTCGTGGCAGTTTGTAACCCTCTTCTCTACTCAGCAGTCATGTCTCAGAAGCTTTGTTACCTATTGGTGGGTGCATCATTTTCTTGGGGGATAGCCTGTTCTTTAACATCCACGTACTTTTTGTTAACCTTATCGTTTTGTGGGATTAATTTTATAAATAACTTTGTCTGTGAGCATGGTGCTATTGTTGCTGTTTCTTGCTCTGATCCCTACATCAGCCAGAAGATCATTTTGGTCTCTGCCACATTCAATGAAATAAGTAGCCTGATAATCATTCTTACCTCCTATGTTTTCATTTTTATCACCGTCATGAAGATGCCTTCAACTGGGGGGCGTCACAAAGCCTTTTCCACATGTGCCTCCCACCTGACCGCCATCACCATCTTCCATGGGACCATCCTTTTTCTCTACTGTGTTCCTAACTCCAAAAGTTCCTGGCTCATGGTCAAGGTGGCCTCTGTCTTTTACACAGTGGTCATCCCCATGCTGAACCCACTGATCTACAGCCTCAGGAACAAGGACGTGAAGGAGACACTCAGGAAGTTAATCAATACCAAATTATTATGTCAATGAATGTAAAATGACTATGATTTACTTATTCATTTTCAAGAGCATTATGGAGAATTTTCCAAGCTTTTTTAATACTTCAAAGTCCTGTGTTTAAAAAGCAAAGCAGTGCATGTATTTAATGTAACTCCACAGTTGACAGATCATTTAACATCTATTCAAGGTAAACTTCAGTAACTTAGCTATAAAATAATAAATTACATAGTAATTAAAGCTTGGACTATTTAAATTAATTCTGTACATTCAATGTTTGTCATGAAAAGTTCCGAGTTAGCTCATATACCATTTTGCTGTTCAGGTAAATCGTATTTTCATTTTTAGTCATCAGAGAATGAGTTTATACAGTTGCTCTGAAAATTTATAGGTCATCATGAGTGAAGACACAGCAAATGCAATACAGTTAACTGAGTGTTGTTCTCAGAAACTTAATTTGCAAGAGATATTTATCTAATTCCACACAGAAAGCATTGGTACATTGTAAATGCAAAGAAGGCATATCTCTGTCCCCACAAAGTCCAGAAAATTGTTAAGTCAAATTGCGTTTGTTAATACCAATTTTATTTGTTCTTTGCATGTAAAACCGGAGAAAGTAAAAATTAATAATTAACAACCTATTAGCACCTCGGAAATAGCTTTTGCAAAATCTAAAATTGTCTTTCATATCAGTCTTGACTTGTGTATAATATGGCTGTTGATAAATAATAATAAAAATAAAATTTCGGTGATATATGTTAGGCAATTGTTATTTTTTGTTGGTGATTTGAGGGAGGAGCCCTGCTAATATCAGCTAGAGCATCTTGGTTAACCTGCTATAGTCTTGCTTAACACCAAGACTATAGATCTGCCTGGTGATTGGGTAGCTCTGCTCTGGGTACCACTGTGTTAGTTAGAGTATCTTCTTGCATTGTCAGAGGCTGAGTCACGAGACAGAATGGGCTGTAACAAAAGCTGTTTCAAAGTCCCATTTGTGTCATGTCTGTTAACATTCTCTCCGCCAACGCAAATCACACAGCTGAGCAGAAAGTCAATCTGCTTCTTGTAGAACTGAAAAGTTACATGACAATGAGCATAGACGCAGAAAGAAATCAAGAATTTCCCAGTGTTTCAATACACCTGAAATTTGCGGTCGATTTTACTTTAAGAAAAGTATTCTACAATCCAGGTAATGTAGTATACCTGTTTCTAGTTTGACAGACTTCCACAACTTGATGAGCTATTGGATTAGCTTCAATAGTGACTGTCTCTGCTGGTTTTGCTTGCTGATCAGTGTTGACATCTCAAAGTCTTGTGCCAGCCCAGTTGTGGACTGTGACTGATGTTACTGGTTTCATCCAAATTGTGAGCTTTTTATTTCCAAATAAAAATGTCTAATTTCCATATAGACATTCCAAAATGTCTAATTTCCAAATATAAAGAATGCTATCAGACTTCATAGCCTAACCTATTTAGCAATGTATACATATATTTTCAACAATCCAGGATATGTAGTTATAAGGTTATGTGATTTACTAAATTTTAATTCTCTTGTCAACCAGATGTCATATGCAAACTAATTAAGTGTTCCACTCAACAGGTACTTTAATAGGTTGTATGTATATATTAGTAAAAATGACAGAAAACATGTATTTAGGGGATTTAAAAATATTATACAGTGAACTATATTTGACAGATGCTCTAGGTCCTTGGATTTAATATCTAAATGGAAAAAAAAAAAACCAAAAAAACAAATGACAGATATTAGGTAAATTACAATTGTGAAATTCATTACGTTTTCATTTTTAAGGGAAAAACAAAACAAAGTATAAAGAAAAGTAACTCTGAATAGCTGCAAGCTGCTTTAGAATAGGTTGTTAATTATTCTGGAAAATGCTTTTCAATGAATATTTACTTACATAAAGGGTATGCAGAAATTCTCCAAGATTTCAAAATTTTAATTTTATTCTGAATGTACACATTTGGAATGATAAAGTGAGTGTATGTTTGTTCTTATTGTGATTTTATGGAGGGTTCTGCAAAGTGCTAGTGATGGGCTCTTCATTCCTACGTCTGAATTACGCTCTTCTACTTTACATGCTGGTGGTTTGGAGAGCTGTAGCTCTTTTGTTGTGTTTCTGAAGAGCTGTGGCAACATTTTTGTTGAAATTTTGGTGAAAGTTTTTTCAAAATTAAAGGAAGACTGTATAGAATTAATGGCCACTTAAGGCAGAAAATGTCATAAATTGAATGTAGTCCACATTATGTAAATATTAATTTTCATATCATATATAGTAATAGATAATTTTAGGAATTTGCTAGTACAGGAAATGAGCCTTATTTTCTGAGGTGATAGGTGATTTTTTTATTGTATATCTGGATTTTGCTACTATTCATCATTTTAGAAAAAGATTGACTTTGAAAGAGAAAGGAAATTGAGATGGGCAGTTAGGGGGAGGGATTATGGAGCTCCTACATCAATGCTCTGTGTTTCCTGGATATCGCTGCCAACACATAATTCATTCAAGCTCAAGGACAATCTTGTTGAAGAGAAAAAGTTGCATTCTAAGCACAAGGATGAGGCCCAACAGAAAGTAAAGAAAAAACATCCTGAGCTAGTGGATCTGAAAGAAGCAACATCTAGGAGTGACTTTCTAGTTGTATTTGGTGTTTATTTTGTTAACGGCTATCATCAAAATTCCAGGAGAGCCTTTTGAAAAATTAGAACCTTATGGCCAGTGCAGATCACATATTAAAAAACATAGAATTCAATCTTACATAAACTTGCCCCAAATATAATAAGAAGGGAACACTTCCCAGTTCATTTTATGAAGCCAACAGCATCGAACAAAAAAATTACAGATCAATATATCGTAAATATACATGGGCAAGTACTTAAAAGAGCAAATCAATTTGCTGATACATAAAACAGATAATACATCATATCCAAGGGGGATTTAATTCAGGAATGCAAGTTTGGTAAATCATTTTGAATTCATCCATGTAATTTACCAAATTAACAAAATAAAATAAAAATACACATAGTCACTTCAACAGATGTAAAGAAGAGTTAATGAAATTAAGCAACTATTCATGATAAAAGTGTTCAGCAAATTAGGAATAGAAGGGGTAGTGTTAAAACAAAGAACTCATTTACAATTTCTCTGTATAATAAGTATCAATAGTATGGAAGACTGAAACACTGGAATTTATTTAGGAGGATGACACACTTTTTTCCTTAGACAAATTTGAATCAATTACTTCAGAGACTGAGGCCAAGATGAAAAAATAAGATGAAACTCCATATGATTTTCATAGCTAGCTTTGTAAAACTGAGGTAAAAATTTCATAATGTCAAATTAAGCATTTTATAGTGAAAATATTAGTGACATGAAAACATTCATATTATTGTGCAATCACATCTCTACATAGTTCTAAAACACTGTCATTACCCTAAAAGAAAGTCATACCCATTAAGTAGTTTTTGCTCATTTTCCCCTCCACCCCCCAGGTGCTGATAATGACCAACCTGCTTTCTGTCTCTATGTATTTACCCATTCTATACATTTCTATAAAGGGAATCATGGAATACGTGACCTTTGTGCCTGATTTCTTTCAGTTAGCATGATGTTTACAAGGTTCATCCACATTTTAACATATATCAGGACTTTATCTTTTTGGGGGGGTGAATAATATTCCATTGTATGTGTATACCACATTTAGTATACTCATTGATTTGCTGGAGAACATGTAGATTGTTTGACCTTTGGTCTATTGTGAATAGTGCTACTACCTACACTCTTGTGTGAGTATTTGCATGAGTATCTGTTATCAATCTATTTGGTGTATACCTAAGAGTAGAATTGCTGGATACCTGGAGTTAGCCAGACTGTGAGGTTTGAGGGCACAACACCTAATGCTGCATTCATTCATTACTGATATAAAATTGCAAGTCTGAAGAATTCCCAGACAACTAGTCCAAACAACTCTCTGAAAACTGTACTCATCATTATGGTTTATCACAGGATAAGGACACAGATCAATCACCCAAAGGAAGAAACCATAAGGCAGAGTCTAGGAGGGGTCCAAAAGAGAAGCTTCATTTCTCCTCGGGACACCTTACCATTCCAACAGTAACATGTGACAATCTCCATGGATTAAAGCCACCCAGGGAAGTTCACACAAGCCTCAGCGTTCAGTTTTGATTAGGGCTCTGTTTGTTACATAGGCTTGATTGATTGTTGTCCCGATGGTGGATCTCAGCCTTTGGTTCACTGATATCCCATAACTAGAAGCTTTTCCCACTAAATCACATGTTTAATCATTCCGGTATGGGAAGCCCCCACCTCAAGAATGACCAATATGGCCAGCCCCATCTTGATGTCGGGTGTAGTCCACGGCCCTCCCTATACAGAAGGTACCCTCAGGTAAGACATAGGTTACCTCCCAGAAACTGATGGCAGAGGCTGACTTTTTTGCTATGCATTGGGACTATTTTTTTGTTAATCCATATGAGACATCACCAAACTGATTTAGATAGTATCTGAACCATTTTGGATTCCCACCAACAATGTGTATTTTACATCCATATAAAATCAAGATATGGACAGTTTTGTTTATTTTTCTTAAGGTCAGCTGAGTAAAGTTGATAATGCAAATGCTCTAGGGTTTTAGGCAAATGATGTACAATTAAGATATCACATGGGACAGTGTTAACATCTAATTACCCAAATGCAGTCTACATGGCAACACTAGTGATATTCTCTAGTCTCCACATCCCTAAGGTCTTGGTGGCATATATTAGTGACTGTTAGGTGCCAGAATTTAGTATTCAGGTGTGACCTTCATCTCTGTATCTCTAATGTTTTTTATAGGTTGAAAAAATAACATATGAAACATTTAATGAAATACACTGTAAACTATTACTAGCGTTTTCAGGTCTGTTTCTCTTAATTAAATACTAAGCAGGAGCATTTCTACATTCATTAATCTTAGCAAAGGATTCTTGAGTAAATGATTGATGCAAGTGTTTCTGTACTTAGGTGAGTCGATTTATTCTTCTTTCGTTTTACTTTATAAGGAAATTATGAAATTCCAATAATCTGTGCAGGAGATGGACACATGGGTAGAACAAGGTGCCCACAAATCCACTTAATTTGGCTAGTAGGGGGCTTAAGGCATTATATTCTGATTCCTTCTTTCTTGCAAATGGTATTCATCCTGGTTGTCATCATTGGGTATCTACCATGTAGCCAGCAGTGAAATAAGCATTTTGGCAAATAGTAAAAGAAAAAAATGGTCTTTGTTCACATCTTACATTCTCTAAGAAAAAAATGTGATAATAATAATCATATCTATAAATGATAGATACAGCATATAGTAATTGTGAGTTGGGAACATTAGTTTATACATATTGAAAGGAGAAGGGAGAATAAGCAATGTTAATAATAGTGGTGAAATGATACATTATAAGAGTGAGAATAAAATGAGAAGATAAAGTATGTGCAAATGAGTGTGCGTAATGTACCAGACTTTCCTAAATTCACCATGACTAAAGAAGTTATGTTGAGTGGTAGTGAGTTTGAATTTATAGATCTGAGCAGTTTTGGAATAGCCAGGTTGAACCATGTAAGTTGCATATACTCACTAATAAAAAGTATTTGGCAACTTAAAAACCATTGGCTGTCAGGTTAAGCCAATCACGGGAAATTGTTCTTCAGTGTTGTGTAGAATATTTTAAATGGAAGGAATGTGGCTGGGAAATATGGCCATAGTCCTGTTCTGCAGTGCTAAGTTCTTAAGAAGGGTAGTTGCAGAGGATCTGATGTGGGATTGATCTTTGAAGCTATCTTTCCTCCGTGCACAAGTGTGTGGGAATCTGAGAAAGCTAAGTGATATGAGAAATCTATAGAAGAATGGAGAAAATATAATTATGTCTCTTAGACTAAGTGTTCAAA